ATAAATATGATTTAACATAACATTTGTATTACATATTTTAATTAATACCTAACCTTCAAAAACATTAAACAAATTAATTAAATTTCATTTATTTAAAAAGAGTTTTACTGATTCCAACTCCACTGTGAAAGTACATACAACACGAAACAACACAACGCAACCCATAATTTGTGAAATTTTACCATAATAGTTATTTATGTCATTAGGTTAAGAAGTAAGGCTTTTTGTGCTAAGCTCAATTACACGAATCACAAAAAGGCACTTCTTGGCCGAATGGCATACAACATTTTATCTTCAAAGCACTTTATAGGTCAATTTAATTCAACATCAAAGCGGCCTAACCTCACTTTTTTAGAATCTCATTTATTTATTAGCCAAAGATTACATTAAATGTACAATAATTATTATTGCTTTTAGAAGCAGTAATAGTTTGACAATACCTAGCAACATGATTTAAGTAGAAATGGATTTTTGCTATTACATTGAATTCAATTAATTGTTTAATAAATAGGTAGGTATTGAATTTCAATTTGTTTGGATTTTTATTTAAAAAATAGCTATAGCTTGGAATGTTTAAGCTGTGTTTAACATTTAATTTCACTGAAAACTTAAAGCAAATTAAAACTTAAAGATAATTTAAATCGTAGAAAAAGAATCGTGCGTTTTCTTGGTTGCCTAACCTCACTTTTTGTTTTAATATTCATATTTAATTTTACAATAATTTAATGAAAAATATTAAACTTTAACAGTAAAACAAACAAATTAGTGCTTATTATAAATAAATTAAACCAGTTTAGTATGTTAATTTCTTAGAAAAGGATTAATTTGTCAAAACAATACCCCTAGCGAGAAAAAATCGAACTAATTACTTGCCTCATAAAATTTTTTATCGGCCTAGGCCATAATAAGGTATTTCTTTATCGAATGTTGACAACAATAAAATTTAAATTATAGACCGCGTCGAGATAAATACTATTTAATGCTAAAAAAGTGTTTTTACTTATTTAAAAGTATCTTCGATACTAATTGGAGGGTAACTATTTTTTTGGTACCAAATTAAAGGAAACTAAATTCTCTATCATAAATATATTTAACATTTTCTTGTCAGATTATCGGTTCACCAGCCATTTGAGAAGTAATAGCATTTTTTATCAAATTTGCACAAAAATGGTATGTTCCTGACTCCAACCCTGTCCGCAAGCCCCAAACACACTCAACGTACCTCACAAACATCAAGCAAGCAAAGCGAGACCCAAGCCCGCTTGATCGTGACCGCATGCACAGGCACTGATGCCAGTTCGCCCGCGATTATCGGTACGAACGGCCATGTTTTTTCCTCGTCTTAGGCCCATCGTTGTTGGAAATGCCCCCAGCGAAAACATGTGCACAGCCAAGTGCATGTGAAATAATAGAGACTGCGGGTACTGCTTGGACAATAAGAAGTTTTGTTTTGTTGATTGTTTGGTTAGGTGTTTTGTGTGGTTTTCGGTACTGATTGAGATGGATAAGGGTAGTAATGGAGTAGTACTGATCAAATGTAAGTTTACAGGATTTGAATTATGTTTTTTGATGATGAAGGTACTTTTTTGTACTTTACATTCTTAGTAGTACCTATGTGTATTTTTTGGTACTGTTTGATATTTGACACAGGTTTTACTGATAAATTAATGTTTGGAGTTAAAATTGAGGTTTTTCTTTAATATTGCACATTTTATTCACTGATTGAACGAAGTACTAATAAAATAACTCATTTTACAAAATCTTCAAATTTTTGATACTAGCAGCGTAAAATGAAGAAGTACCATTGTTTTTAAAAGTTGTTTATAAACAATAATAGTACTGATGATAGCTTGAGACATAAAAACAAGAGTTTTTAACAAATATTTATTATAATATTAATTTTTATAGATAAAGGTACTACCCAATAAAATAGTACATATATGTATACTAAACTTTTAATAATGCAAGATTATGGTGTTATTTAAAATAAAAATACCTATTAAATATCAATACCCATGTAAAATGTTTTTAACAGCATAAAAGTTTTTTGTTCAATAATAAATAAATGGTACTATTGTTTGTGCCTGATGTTGCAATATTTAAGAAAAGGTTTATATTTTTGTTAATATACAAGATTTTATATGCAATGATCATATTTACAAAATAGTGACAATTACCTATGTAAATATGCATTATCAAAAAACAAATCTTTTCTTTGAATTTACCTCTTAATTACTAACAAATAATAACACAATATACAAACAATTAATTACACAATATTCAAAGTATTTATTTTTATTTCAAATGTTTAAAAGTGATTTTCTAATAGAAAAAACAAATTACACATAATTCCACCCTTTTTATAAGAATACAAAGTTCAATAAAGAACGTTCTGGTTATATTTATTTCGTGTTTTGAGTAATAACTAGGTTATTTCAACAACCATCACAAAGTTCTTGTTAATTGTTTATTTTTAAGTTTAGGGTAGTTATGATATTATAACTTTTTGTTCCAAATTAAATTGTTTTTCGAAATATGTAAAAATATACAGGGTGCCCCATTATTTTTGTGAATATTTCGGAAACGCGACGTTCAATTGTTTTTCTGTTTTTTGCCATTTTAATCGAAAGAAAAAATTTTACCAATTTGGTAATTTAACCGACTTCGTAGCTTTGATAATAAAGGAGTTAGAATGGTAGCAATGTTGAGCAGATAACTTTTGACACTGTGTATATATTTGAAGGATTCTTATTAGATTAATATTTTATGTGGTTTCAATTTATTTATTAAAATACTTGAATATATAAATAACTCCCTAAATTTTTTAAAATTATAAAATGGTAAAGGATTATTTTATTTGGTTTTGAAAATTTTTTTTTAAAGCGTTAATTTCCTTTGATTGGTAGTAATTTTATCTTGTTCTACAAATGAATATAAATTGAAATTGGAATAAAAATAATATTTCCATTTTACATAAAAAAACTTTTTGCATTGTTTTTTTTTAACAATAAAATAGAGGAAAACTTTAAATTTAGAAATACAAAACGATTACCAAGTTCAACTAAATTTAATTTTAACCCGTCAGCTCTGGGTAATGTTAAAATAGACTTGCTGTATAGAACTATGTAAATTACATCGACTTCAGGTTCATAAGTATTCACTAATTACATTTAGTGCCTATAAAGGTATTTTAAGAATTCGGAGTATACAAAAATAAAACAGCTAAATTTCAACAATTTTGTGTTTTTAGACTAGGTATACTTAAATAACTCTATTATAAAAACTACAAAATATGTCACTTAAATTAAAAACTCTACATAATACCTTTGTTGACATTTTTATTATAATTTAAACAATGCAAACCATTTAATCTTACCATTGTTTATGCACATTAAAATATCCCATAACCCAGTTCTGCCAAGGTTAAAAATAAACATTTTATACCTACAATGTAGGTCCTACATCTCAAAATTTCCAAAAACTTTGGGCTGAGTCCGGCCCAATAATTATCACCTGTTGCATCTAATTCTCAGGTAGATATTCGTCCTACTACATACAAAAAATAATCTTCTGTGTATTATAATGCATGTTTAAATTTAAGGAGGTTAATGAAAAATAATTTTATTTTAGGCGGAATTAACTTACGAGTTACGAGGTTTTTGAATTTTGGTAATTAACATCATTAAATAAGTGCTTGTTAAATCAACGTAATAGGTATAATAAAATTAGTAGTAGTAGTTAATTTACAAGGTTTAAAATAAACAAGAATATGTATTTTTGATCATCCAAAACAAAGACTTTAAAATCAATATTCCAATTAAATTTTAAAGGTTCAACGGCTCTTATTAAACATTGGATTTATTATATTCATTAAACTGGCGTAATCTCGTATCAACCATAATATTTACCTGCAAACTCAAGTACTTTAACCTAGTTTGCATTGTAATTATATTGATTTCTGATTGGCCAGGTGTCATACCAGATAATAGAACAAACTATAATAGTATCTCATTTAAAAAATAACGAATGTCAACGTTTATTTGATAGAGGATATCCGATTTCAATTAATTTTAATGAAGGAATGATGTATTTTAGATTATTTAACTTTTTTGTTTATTTTATACCCAATGACCAAAAACAAAATGATTTTATTTTTACTACCTGACTCAAAATAAGGAAAACACTACTGCGAAATAATAAATTATTAAACAAACTTGTACCTTTAAAACGCAATATGATTTATAACCAAACCAATATATATCAAAATTAACTTTTTGGCTTAAAAATTTTATGATTTACGTCCAAAATTTCAAATCAACTTTTATATATGGTAATTTACGACTCCACAACTCATAATAATTTTCATCAATTTTATTAACAACAATATTTACAGTAAAAATAGTACAGTTCAATTATTTGTAACGCATTGCTTTGGGTGCAACGTTAAAAATATCACTTAATGGGTCTTCAATTTTCCTCTTCACTCCCTTACCATTGAAGATTTCATGGTTTGCAATTTTTTCCTTCGGTATCCTTATTTTCAGACTTATTTTCTTATCGCTTTTCTTATCGCTTTTCTTATCACTCTCCTTGTGCTTGTTCTTATGCTTCTTCTTCTCCTTTTTCTTATGTTTTCTGTCTTCTTTTGTTTTCACATTCCCTTCCGTCTTTACAGCAGTCGATGTGAATTCTTCGGGTGGATCAAAAAGAACATGAAAACTGATGTTTGCACTCGATAAATTCAATGCTTCTGATTGGGATGGTCCCGGGGAAAATATACTGGGTGGTGGCTCCTTTCCTACTGGAGACACATCGGGTGAAAATAGACTGTGAATTTTCTTGGTTGTGTAACCAGTTGATGGAGCAATGGTATGTTGGGTAACATTGGTGCTTTGTGGTTGCAACATATCAGGTGAAAATAGACTGTGGACTTTCTTGGCTGATGGTGCAATGGTATGTTGGTTAACAACAATATTTACAGTAAAAATAGTACAGTTCAATTATTTGTAACGCATTGCTTTGGGTGCAACGTTAAAAATATCACTTAATGGGTCTTCAATTTTCCTCTTCACTCCCTTACCATTGAAGATTTCATGGTTTGCAATTTTTTCCTTCGGTATCCTTATTTTCAGACTTATTTTCTTATCGCTTTTCTTATCGCTTTTCTTATCACTCTCCTTGTGCTTGTTCTTATGCTTCTTCTTCTCCTTTTTCTTATGTTTTCTGTCTTCTTTTGTTTTCACATTCCCTTCCGTCTTTACAGCAGTCGATGTGAATTCTTCGGGTGGATCAAAAAGAACATGAAAACTGATGTTTGCACTCGATAAATTCAATGCTTCTGATTGGGATGGTCCCGGGGAAAATATACTGGGTGGTGGCTCCTTTCCTACTGGAGACACATCGGGTGAAAATAGACTGTGAATTTTCTTGGTTGTGTAACCAGTTGATGGAGCAATGGTATGTTGGGTAACATTGGTGCTTTGTGGTTGCAACATATCAGGTGAAAATAGACTGTGGACTTTCTTGGCTGATGGTGCAATGGTATGTTGGTTAACATGTGTGCTTTGTGATTGCGACATCTCGGGTGAAAATAAACTGTGGACTTTCTTGGTTGTATAACCGGTTGATGGTGCAATGGTATGTTGGTTAACATGTGTGCTTTGTGGTTGCGACACCTCAGGTGAAAATAGACTGTGGACTTTCTTGGTTGTATAACCAGTTGTTGGTGCAATGGTATGTTGGTTAACATTTGTGCTTTGTGGTTGCGACACATCGGGTGAAAATAGACTGTGGACTTTCTTGGTTGTATAGCCAGTTGATGGTGCAATGGTATGTTGGTTAACATTTGTGCTCTGTGGTTGCGACACATCGGGAGAAAAGAGACTGCGCAACTTCTTGGCTGTATGATCACTAATTTGAACGTGTTGGTTAAGATTGCTGCTTTGTGGTATCGCGTTCTCGAACATACTTGGTTGGTGGTTCATACCATTCGACTGTCCATAACCATTGGTATACTGTTGATTGAAATTGCTACTTTGCTGATTTGTTGTATGTCCAAAACTTTGATTAACATCATGCACGAACATACTTTGATTTCCAGTGTTCATATTTGTTATGTTGTTGATAGAGGGTCCATAACTTTGACTATTCTCAGCCATAAAAATGCCATCCATTTTGGCCTCAAAACCGTGGTTGACCTCTGGTATAAACATACCCTGTTGACCTCCACTGATCTTTGGCGCTGTCTGACTGGTTATATTGTCGATGGAATGTCCAAAACTCTGCTTTGGTTCATTGAGAATGGGGTTCATCACATTCATAGCCTCAAATACGTGTTGTTCCAATGAAAAAGCAGGCTTCTGCTGTGGTGGTATATTTGGCAATGCAGTGGAAACATTACCATAACCATTTGGAGGTTCTATTTTATCTACCTTCATGGAAACATTACCATAACCATTTGGAGCTTCTATTTTATCAACCTTTAAGTTCAAAGCTGATATATTTTTTTGGAAGTTACTGAATATCCGCTGACTATGTGTGGATACATTCGGTACCCCATTGTTAACGGGCTTGTTGTTAATATTGTTGGATCCTTGCTTGAATTTGGCGTTAAAGTCTTTGGAAATCATGTTGCCAACAGACAAGCTAGCCTCCTTTTGCTTCGGGGTTGAATTTTGGAAGAGAACTACAAACTCGTCGCATAAATCCTGGATTTCATCGTACGTCACGTCAGGGTCCACGTAAACGTGCCAAGGTTTGCTCTCGTTGGATAGAGGCATTTTGAAATTGAGGCATCGCGATGCCAAAGCTATACATACGCACGCCACAACGGTTGGCTTATACTGCAGACACATCGTCGTTAGATGTAGGCTATTGCTAGCCATGAAGTAAGCTGTCTGAGCCAAATCCTTTTCTGCTTTCACCAAGTAGCAACATTTGATGATGTGGGAGTGCGGGTGTTCGATTTGCAGCTCGAAGCCCAAGGTCATCATCAGTATGTTTTCGTTGAAGATCAAATCGTCGCATTGCAACCTGAACCGTTCGCTTTTCTTATCCACCACTAAACCTCTCGAGCTGTTTAAGGCTCCAATCAAATACTCCATTTTCCTAGGTTGTTCCTCGGTCTTGCACGCCAAAAATAGAGCAGCTGCGGCTATTTGGTACCATCTAAAATTCCTCATCGAATGGAACATGTAGAACCGGTGCATGTAGACTATAGCCGTGTTTATACACAATTGAGTCACTTTGAGTCTCTGTCCCATATCTTGGATACTTTTAGACGCCATGTGTCTCAAGGAAAATTCTTTTTCTTGGTCGTATCCCGTTTTTCTTGACGGTGTGTTGTCCAGGTCTTCTTTGGTGAACATCCAGCGATGTGGGTCGAATAGAAGGTTATCCATTGTTGTGTAGTACGAATAAAATCACAGAACTATACTGACTTAATTAACTCATTTCGAAACTATTTATTGGAACATAGGTATATGTTTTGGAGAAATGTTATTTAAAATGGTACCTGTGCAAGTCTAAGACAAAAAGATTAATAGGATTAACATTAACTTTATTATTTTGTACTATTTTTAGTTAGGTAATGTTTCTGTTAAGCCTGGTTCTAACAGAAAAGTAATTTAGAACTTAATTTAATAGTTGGCCAACTTTTATCTTTTAAATTAAATTACGTTATTTCATGGTTATTTCGTACTAACCTAACCTATTTTCGAAGAATCTAACCTATATTGTGTAAACGGTTTTAATATTTCGATTGTAATTACCAAAGTAAGCAATATATCTAATACTAAGTTTTAGATACATGAAGTAAGCGCTATCTTTAAAATATTGTTATTCACTATTAAATTACGTTATTTTTTTAATGAACGCAAGTAAATTAAATTAAATTACTTTTAAAATTAAATTAAATTATATTACGTTATTTCTCTGTTAGACCCCAGCTTTAATGTCTTGGAAAAAATAAATTTAACTGGATACTTATACGTTCTAGTAACCTTTACCCCACATGCAGCATAAATCATTTAAATATGTATTGCAAACACAGGAAAAGAGATTTTATGGCATTTAAATAAAATGTCAAGATTTATTTTGTTTAAAAGAGTTTAAAAATAGGTCAATAAATATTATCCCTTGGGATTTATATGATTATTGTAAATATATATTCGTACAAATTTATTAATTAGGTATAAAATATAGCGTTAATACCTGTGGAAACCAACAAACAAATGCATGTAACTATAATTAAATTTAAAACAAATTACCTACAAAAATATTACGTTTTTTACCTTAATTATTAAATAACAAACTTTAAATTGTTGCCAAGTTCAGTAAACTCTAAATAAATACAATTTTTTACGGTTAAATTCACTTGTACAAAACTTACAGACCAAAACATGAAGCCAAATTAATTATTTAAATAACAATAATTATTAAACGTAGCGTTAATGCAATACAGTTTCTGTAATTACATTGTACATAAAAATAATTTCATTTGGGGAATTTTGATGCCAAAGGTTTAACCCTTCCACAAGTCCTATTAAAATGTAGAATTATAAAGCTCAAGGATAATTTCCTCCAAAATTGAGTTTACATAGTCAATTTAGACAGGATTTAATGGATACTAGTAATTAGGTCACTAAAACGAAGCAAAATATAAAATAGAGGAAAACAATATTTTTAATATATTATGGTATAAAGATTATGATCATTTTTATTTATTTTATAAATGCATTGTTTAATACAGAATTTGTACAATTTGTACAAATAATTTCGAAATGTCAACCTAAATATGATGTGACTATTAAACAAAATATACTAAAATATAAATTTTACAAACGTAAGAAGTATAAAACAAAACTATTTTCGAAATATGGAAAAATTATTGAACAAATGTTAAAAATAAATTGCATACACTCCCTGTAAATATAAATTGTACCTATTAGATACAATAAATACACATTGTAGTAATAATTTACGAAAATTGTAAACATTTCAATTCATTAAAAATCATAAAAAAAATCGTGTAAATTCAAACGTTATGCATTATTAAAAGCGTTGATTGAGAAAGTAACAGTAAAAAAACAAAAACGGGTATTATATTATGTTTTGTATATAATATTATGTTGCCATTAATTTATTATTTTAAAATGCAGCTGTCGACTTTTTTTTAGAGAATTTATATCCAGGGTCTTATGTTATTAATGTAATATATTAAAATACTGAATAACATAAGGTGTAACGGAAAAATATTTAAAAAAATATTTTCCCAAAGATAAAGAAAAAATATGCATTAGGAGTTTTTTATATTTTTTGTTATACGCCACTGGAACAACAAAGTAGCTGCGCGTTATCAGTTGTAAAAAATTGTTACTAATAATTTTCTTTGCAAAAAATAAATAAAAACTTAATAAATACCAAAGTGTTATGCCCTTAAAGCTCTAATACCCTTCTGTATTTATTTTCTCATTTAGCTGTTAGCTTAAGCAATGATTAGAAAATTTAGTAAAAACTGCATAACCACAAAATTAATTTTTTCTACTCCCACCTTTAAAACGCCCTTTATCGTACATGTTTCCAGTGACCTTTTAAATACACATTGACAAGTTGTGGCTTTATGGCGCTTTAGTCACGGGCTGAAGTTAGCAACAGGTTTTTAGTCACGGGCTAAAGTTAGTTTTAAGTTAGTTGACAGTTGTCAAATGTCATACAATCGTTAAAATAAAGCGCCTTTCTTGTAAAATAATACTAAATGTGAAAATTATTTTATTAGCTCAATACAAAAATACAAAAGTATTAAATAGTTTCTCAACGCCAATATTTGAAAAGTTTATATGAACATTGTACTGAACTTTTACATTCGCCGGCAGTGAAAAACTGTAAATTTTCAAGAAATACATTTAGATTTATAACCTTTATAATCTGTGTTTATAAAATACAAAAATTTGACATTTGACGGTGACACACAGATTCCCCTATTGTTTCATAGATGGCGCTCTATACAAATTTTTGATTTAAATCATTTTAAGATAATAATAAGTATTTGTCGTAGAAAAAATATAGTATGCACCTCGTTTATAAAGTTTGCTATACACTCATTAATTTAATTAAATTAAATTCGTGTATAAAATGGCGTTTATCAAACTTGATTCATAATATACTATTAAAAAACTACTTATTTATTTAAAAATAATGTGCAGTTCGTATGCTTTAAATATATAGTTGACAAACCTTAAAAATAAAATTCTTAACTAAGCCATCTAAAAAGTCAGTGGTATAAAAGTTTAATGTTTAAATATTCTGATTTTCTGACTTTCTAAAACTATTATTTATATACCCTGTATAAATATATTTCTTAGCAAAACTTTATCGAGAATATATAATTAAAACGTAATAAAAGACGTCTCAGAGTTCAAGGTTTCTACATTGAAATAAAAACAATGCACAACTTAAAATCGCTATCAAGGACTTAAATTACATTTCATCTTTGAATAAACAAAATCTATTTGTTTTTTCTTTGTCGTATTTTGGACAGGATTTGTTTTATATCCGGTTTACCCAAAGTATTTGACCTTAATATTGGCGTTCAAGATATTTGCAATAATGGCGAATGCACCGGGATCAGTTCCACTTTTGTAGGGTTTTATCTTTAACAGAAATTAAATAAAATCAAATTATATGTTTCCTTTTTTCAAATATAACACCCCATATATTTTTTCATTTTTATATTCTGTATAAAATTCTTAGTGTAATTACTTTCAAGTTAATTTTTTTCGTTAAAATTGACAAATGCTCGTCAATCATAAATAGCCTATAACTTTTTTGCTATTAGGTTTGCGAATATGGCGGTGGAATTTTTGTAATCATAAAATATTGTTTAAAATATTCCATATCAATTTTTTAACATTTTTTAACAAATTACCTGAGAGAACCCAGGGCAAATTAGACTTAAACTTAAAAGGGTGATAACTTTTTTATTTTAAATATAACACCTGGTATGTTTTTACATAATCATATAGTACATTAAAAAACCTTTTGATTGATTTTACTATTGATTATCTATTATGTTAAAAGTTATTTTTCTGTAAAAACTGAGTATTTTTGTATCTAAATTAGTTTACGTTATGATATCGCTTTCAAGAGTTCTAAAACTTGACATAATCTGTTTGTGACAGTTCAGGATCGTATTATGCAAATGTTGGTGCATAATTTATGGAAAGTCGAGAAGACATGACCTTGCATTAATCTTATCCAATTAAGCGGCAACAAAGCAACACTGTGTGTGATAGGCGAATCAACAGGAAATATGAGTACATTGTTTTGGTTTTTGATACAGAGGAAAAAGGATTTAATAATATTTCTGTAAAAAAACATAGAAATTAATTGAAAATGCAAATAACCTTTAACCTTAAATAATAAAGTAAAATGCTCAAGTTTCTTATGGTGACAAGATTTATAGTATTGTTTATTTAGGTGAAGATCAAGTTGTGTATTCTTCTATACTTATTTAATCAAGTTTCATTTTGTACAAGTTAAAAAAGTTTCACAAAATATATGTTAAGAACATCAAGGAAAAAACTTTCAAACTATATATAATAAATTTACATATTCCTTTAAACTTTTCGTGACATATTTCCCTGAAGTGTTGGAAAATAATGTTACAATGTTCCCTCTTGTCCAATATTCCACCAACATTAATAATATTTCGGGCAGTCCAATAAATCATATCTATAAAGGCGGCAAAGCAAATCCTGTTTTCCTTCTAAACCCGGAACCTTCCGGCTTCCGGTCGCAGACATCGAGGCACTAAGAGCCTTTATTTGCGAATTCGCGGTTTATTGCCAATCGTTTCTGCGAAAAAATTTGAATGCGGGAGGTCGAAGACCTCCGAACTTGTAAGACATAAGTAAGCTTTTTATGTATGAATATATTATTTTTTGTGCGAAATCCTTAAGAGGGTTTCCGATTTTCTTTCGAATTGAGTTTCTTGACATCTTTATGTACAAGGTGTTCCAAATTCAATGAAATACAAAATGATAAAAAAAAATTAAATGAAATTAAAAAACATAAAATTTTGAAGTTTTTAAATTTGAAAATTAAATTAAAAATTTCTGTTTTTTTAACATATAGGTGATTCTACAAAAGTTGGGCAACTTTTGACCTCATTTTGTTTATATAGTTTTCGGAGAAAATTAAACAGTATTTTGTTATGAGAACATAGATAATATAATAAATATACTGTTCCAGACCGGGCCAGTCGCTTTTTCAAATAGTTTCTGAAATATCTGTGTTTTCTAAATTTGAATGCAAGGGAAGTGACGAGTATACCAGGGTACTAATTAAATACATAATTTATTGGAAAATATAAGATTTATTGCAACTTTGAGCATATTATACA